CCTTGTGTTAGGCTAGGTTCTCTAGACAAGAAAATCCAGTAAAGCTTATGTATATATAGAGAGAGAGAAATTTATCTTAGTAAAATGTCTCACAGTTATAGAGACCAGCAAATCCCAAATTCCTGGATCAAACGTCAAGCTGGAAACTTTTCCAGATTCACACAGCCGCAGGGACTGAGGAGCTCAAAGCTGTCAGGCAGTATAACAACTGTTGACTTCAGTGGATGATGAATCCAAGATCACTGGGCAGAATGGTGGATTGCTCACTCACAGACATTGTAGGCAGAACAACAGGATCCAGATCCACAGAAGGTTCTCCCACAATGTCTATATATATATATATTGGAAGCAGGCCACAACCCCAGGGAAACTCCCTTTTCATGGATTGGCTGCTGAAGCATATACATCAGATCTCATCATGGGAATAACCACATCACAACTGCTTAAACCACTCAGAATCATGGCCCAGCCAAGCTGACACACAACCCCAACTATCACAACCTTATACATAGAAAACCCAAGAGACTTAGCAAGAAAATTACTGGAACTTACTGAAAAATTTAGCATAGTGGCAGGATACAAGATCAACATACAAAAATCAGTTGGATTCTTCTACACCAGCAAAGAGGTCTCTGAAGAGGAAAGAAGGAAACCAATACCATTTACAATGGCTGCAAAAAAAAGATGAGATACTTAGGAATAAATCTTACCAGGGCACAAAATATCTATACAAAGAAAACTATGAAGTACTACTTCAAGAAACTATAAGTGATCTACATAAATAGAGGAATATACTATACTCTTGGATAGAAAGATTAAACATTGTGAAAATGTCAGTACAACCCAAACAATCTATATTTAATACAATCCCAATCAATCAACATTCTTTAAAGACATGAAAAAACCAATCACTAATTTTATATGGAAAGGAAAGAAACCTTGAATAAGCAAAGCACTACTGAAAAAGAAGGACAAAGTAGGAGGTCTCATACTCCTAGACTTCAAAATGTACTATACAGCCACATAATCAAAACAGCCTGGTATTGGTACAATGACAGACATATAGACCAGTGAAACAGAATTGAGAACCCAGAAATAGATATGTCAACCTATGGTCAGCTAGTTTTTGACAATGGGCTGAAATCCATTCCATGAGGAAGTTGTTGTTGTTGTTGTTATGTGCCGTCGAGTCAGCCCTGACTCATAGCGACCCCTCCTTGGGTTTCCGAGGCAGTATCACTACGGAAGTAGGATTGCCCAACCTTCCTTCCGAGGAGTGGCTGGTGGGTTTGAACCACCAGCCTTCTGGTTAGCAGTCAAGTGCCTTAGCCACTATGCTACCAGAGCTCCTCCATGAGGAAGAGAGAGTCTCTTTCACAAATGGTGCTGGCAAAACTGTATATCCATTTGCAAAACAATGAAACAAGATCCATATCTCACATCATACACACAAACTAACTCGAGATGGATCAAAAGACTTAAATGTAAAACCTAAAACTATAAAGTTTATCAAAGATAAAATAGGGGCAAACTTAGGAGCCCTAATTTATGGCATAAATAGACTATCAAGTATAACCCAAAAATGTACAAACAGCAGAAGATAAATTAGATGATTGGGACCTTCTAAAAATTAAATTCTTATGTGCAAGAAAAGACTTTTTTCAAAAGATAACCTACAGAAAGGGAAAAAATATCCAGCAGTGAAATATCAGACAAAGAACTTATCTCTAAAGTTTATAGAAAACTCCATTGTCTCAACATCAAAAAGACAAATAATCCAGTTTAAAAATGGGCAGAAGACAGAAACAGACACTTCACCAAAGATATTTAGGCACCCAACAAACACATGAACAAATGTTTGCAATCATTAGCCACTAGAGAGATGCAAATCAAAATAACCATAAGATAGCATTTCACTGCAGCATTAATAGCAAAGTCAAGAAGATAAAAAATTACAAATGCTGGTGAGGATATAGAGAGATTGGGACTCCTATACATTGCTGTTGGGACTGTAGAATGATACAACCACTGTAGAAATCAGTATAGTGATTCCTTAAAAAGTTGGAAATAGAAATTCCATTTGATCTAGCTATCCTATTATTCAGTATATATCCTAAAGAACTGAGAGGCAGGACACACGCATGTTCACAATAGCAAAGAGATGGAAACAACCTAAGTGCCCATCAACCGAGGAATAGATAAACTATGGTACATACACACAATGAAATACTATGCAATCCTAAAGAATAATATAGAATCTGAAAAATACCACATAACGTGGATGAACTAGAGGACATTACACTGAGTGAAAAAAGTCAATCACTTTTTGTCAAAAGGAAAAATATTGTGTTAGTTTGCTATTACAAAACAGTCAAGGAAAGGTTTATACATAGAAGAAACTTTCTTTGTCGGTTACTAGAGTTGGCAGGGGAGGGAAGGCTAAATTCCTAGATAGGTTGAAAAAATACATAAATAAATAAATATATAAAACCAAAACCAAACTCACTGCCATCAAGTTGGATCTGAGTCATAGCGACCGCTCCTTGGGTTTCCGAGGCGGTATCACTATGAAAGTAGATTGCTCAATCTGCCTTCCAAGGAGTGGCTCTTGGTTTTGAATACCACCCTTCTGGTTAGCAGTCAAATGCCTTAGGCACTACACCACCAGAGTTTATATATATACATACATATATACATAGATATGGGAGCTCTGGTAGCACAGTGTCTAAGGCACTTGACTGCTAACCAGAAGGCTGGCGGTTCAAACCCATCAGCCACTCCTCGGAAGGA